ATTTTATCTCAACAACTAATCAAACCTATAAACAACATGAAACCACAAATGTTATTAAAAAACCCTAGCAAACACAATTGCAAATTCTACTGAATTTGTTTTGCCATCATCTATAACATCACTCTTACTTTTTTGAACACTTTGAATTTTAGAATCATATAATAATAATACTAAATTATTATAAATCTCTTGTATTATATTATTACTAATATCATGTGCTTCTTCTATATTACCATTTATTTCTTGTATTTTGTTTATAGCATTAAATTCTTGCATTTTATCTACATCTACATTCACATCTACATTGCTATAGATTTCTTGTATTTCATCTACATTAACATTTACATTAATGTCACTATAGATTTCTTGAACTTGTTCTATATTACTATTGACCTCTTGTGATTCTTTAAAGTATTTTTTACTAAGCTCTGATTCTATTGTTTTACTACTGATACTACTAATTTCAGAAGCAATAGTTGATTAAGAACTTTCAGATACTAGCACATTATTATTTACAAACTCTTAACCTTCTAATATATCAATTAGATTAGTATCACAGTAAGAAAGCTGTCCAAATACTAATTTATAAAGAATTGATTTATGTGCAGAACAATACTAAGTATTCATAACCTCTAATTTAAAATTTAATTAAATTAATAATAATAATAATTAGTATAACATTAAATAAGTAAAAATAAAATAAAAATTAAAATAAATAAAATAAATAAATAAATAAAAATAAATAATTAAACAAAAATTAATAAAAAAAATTAATTAAATAAATAAAAATAAATAATTAAACAAAAATTAATAAAAAAATTAATTAAATAAGATATTTGTTATTGATATATAATGAATTTGATGCATTTTATTAATTTGATTAATTAAATAATATGAATCAAATTTAATGCAAAAATATTGATAAAAAAATAAATTAATAAAAAAAATAAAAATAAACTAAAATAAAATAAATAGATAAAAAAAAATACACAAATAATGAATTTCAATCCAATACTTCAGTCATTTCAGCCTGTTTCCTTCATCTAGGCTCCTAATTTGAATTGAAGAATACTATTTCCCTTTTCTACCATTCTCTGACAATATGGATTTTTTAATCTACCATGGATCAATTTGATAGTAGACCAGATACTTAACATCTCTTTAATAATTCTTGCAATAAACTCTCTATCGTTATCTGAATATAGTACTATAGAAGGACCATATATCATGTAGAAATTAAATAAACAAGCCACTACTTCTTCAACCTCCTTAGATTGTAAAGGTTCTGTATAAGAAAATCTTGAAAATTGATCCCTACAATAAATGATATATTTATACATTCTATCAAATGTTGATGTAATATCAATAGTATCTACCTACAAATAAAATTTCTTTAATAAAAATAAATAAATAAAATAAATAAAATTAAAATTATTTTACCTGAACATGATATAAAAATCTTTCTGAGATTATTGTCTTGATGGGTGAAATTTTTATAAAAGCTCATCTAGTAATACAAACAGCATCCTCAACTACTCTTTGTGAAATAAAACAATACTGTATATGAATTTTTTTAAAAATTTTATTATTATTAAAAAATAAATAAAAAAATATAAAAAAATAAATAAATAATAAATAAAAAAAATAAATAAAAAAAACTTTTTACCATGTTTTGTCTTAACCTGCATGCTCTGTTGCTTGGTGCGCAGTACAGATTATCTCATAAAAGTTTTCAACAAGACAAACTTGTATCCAAGCCATTTTCAATTGGTTTAATTATATGAAGTTCTTTAGTTGTACCAATGTAAAGAATTTTAAAATTATAAGTTACCCAATATTTAAATTTTGGGTTCTGTAAGTCATTTGGATTTTTAAGTACAGCTAAACATTAATTATATTTATTTTGATCTATTAACAGTGATTGTTTTTCTTTACTAATAAAAGTTTCTAATATTCAGTCAAAGGTTTCACACGTCAGAAAGTTGTATTGTTCTATTTTGAAAATTTAATAAGAAAAAATAAAAAGTTGTATTTAAAATCAAACATTCGATAGCTTTATTTATTTTTTATTTTTTGCATAAATTAAGTAAATACATTTGTAGTATAATAAAATTTAATAATTCTAAGTTCTAATTCTTTATTAAATTTCAGGATCAGTTTCCTTAGGTGTAGTCTATCATCAGTGTGACAAATAAATGCAAACTATTTTATTTATAAGTCAATTAGGTAGTGCTTATTTGTCACCCAAGGATTGGTCACACCTGGTCATAAATTTTGTATTGCATTAAATTTGCTGTTGGGTGTGACCAATCATTCATGTGACAAATAAATCTAACTAATTTATTTATATAAATAAATTAGTTAATGTTTATTTGTCATATAAATGATTGGTCACACCTGATTCATAAATTTCAAATACTGCATTAAAAATCGACCTGGGTTATTTCTGAATCAGTAAAAATTCAAGAATAACCTAGGTCAATTCAGAATCAACCTAAATTGTGAAATGACTCAGAACATACATAATTCACATCTGCTTAATAAATTTTATATTTATTTCGAAAAACTAATATATATCTAGCTACTAACCCTCTATGTATCTAAGTAAACAAATAGTGTGCATAAACTTACAGATGCTGATTGTACTGGTCTTGTGTGGCACCACATGCTGTGCAGCTACCTTATTGATTATAATAATTATAATCAATATATGCAATATAAAAATATAATCATTATCAGCATTATAAGCATAGCTATCCCAATTTTAGTAAGAAATCTTTATAACCAAAGGGCATGACTTGTTGTTATATAGTAAATATTACATAACCAAATTGGTTATTTATTGTGAGACCCAATAATGTAATGAAATTAAAATGCCAGGACCTCATGTGAGAACAGGTACAATGATCAATTCCTTAATATAGACATCCTGGCAATTAATCACATTAATGTGATTAATTAAATAAATCAAGGAAGTAGGATTAATTAGAGAAAGGGGATTAATTAGAGAAGGGGGATTTATTAAATAAATGGGTTTAAGTGAATAAATTAGAGGAATGAGCTTAATGTAATTAAAGAAGTTATAATCAAAAGTTAAATATAAATAAAGGCCGAAATGGCCCTAAGGGACGACATGCCCAGTTTGCTTTATTAATAAACAAGTCCCAATACATTAATCATCCATTATAAATCCTAACACTAATACCATTATAAACCCCGTAAACCCTAATAACCATCGTTGTTTGTTCAAGTTCTTGTTCACGTGACTTACCCTACTTATATTCGTTGACCCAAAGTAACTGAAAGCCTTAACCACCCACCAGCCAAATCTAACACCCTCTTTTGAAAAGGTTACTTATCGTACGTACGCGAGATATTGTATTGTAGAGCGGCAGAGTCGCAATCTTCCGAACCCAACATTATAAATTAATTTTCTGGGTCTAACAATATAAAAACATCTTGATAATAATGTAGAAACAACTGTAATATGTTATAAAATTTTCTGCTTCAGGTAATAAATAATACTATAAATATAATTTCTTTTAATAGATAAATAGATTCACAATTTAGTGACACTAAATGATTTGTAATTTAAGCTATTCAAAATTGATTCTTAGATTAACATAACCTTACCTCAGCTGAAGGCTACCTAAAAAATAATCAACCAATCAAAATTTTAGATAACTCTTATAAATCTCTTGATTTATATTACCAATTAAATTGACTCATATTTGTTCATTCTATATGTTCGTTTAATTTTATCTCTTCCTCATTCCAAGAGTTCTAAAAGTGACGTTAACCAGAAATTTAATTGCAAGCAGTCTTAATAGTAATTCATGATTTTAATAGTAGATAAGTTCATGATTTTATAATAGATAGGTCACAATTTCAATAGAGAGTGAATTCAAATTTACAACAATAGATAGGTCATAGAACCGGCATACATACAATTAATAGCTCTTGTGCTCATGATTGATTTTATGTTTTAATAAAGAACTTACAGAATTTTAATAAGCAGGCTTATGATTTTAATAATTCTAATAGTAGATGGATTAATAATTTAGAGTATATGGGTTTGTAACCTTAATGGCAGGTAGATTTGCATTGTTAACAAAAGGTAGACGGATTTTTGATTTTAATAATGAGGCGCAGGATCGATTTTGCTGTCACATGATTCTTGGAAGACAATTGCTGCTAAGTTAAATACTTCTTTTATAATTGAGTTATAATTGAGTTAGAGTTTAGGGTAAGGTTAGAAAGGACTGTAGCATAGCAAAATTACACAAGGGAATTTTTTGTTAAGACTCTAAAGATGGTTTACAAGACTAAATTTTGAGATAAATGCGACTTTTGCAAAGAGAACGTTTGATTTAGATTTCTTTACGTTACACCTGATCTTGATCTTTGATTGACTGGTATAAGTCAGAAAATCATGAGACAGTAAAATTCGATCCTACACACTGGCGTTGTTGGTTTTATTTTTCTTATATTAATCTGATTAGAATTGAATTTGACATAAGAAAAATAAAACCAGTTCCAAATACTAGTTCTAATTCAACATTGGTTAGGTTCACAGATTAAATGCAGCATAAGGGACACTTAATTAATTTTTAATTATAATGTCCTTTATATTATATTTGATGTTCGAGTTCACTATTTCAATAGTGAATGGAGGAATTTAATTATGTACATTAATTAAAAACATTGTTTCTGCGCAGAAGGCATGAGTTACATGCTAGTTATATTAAATTTCAGTTCTATAGCTTCGAGTTTCAGAAGTTTTAAGTTTAGACAAGATTTCAGAAACTGTAACCCGAAACATGCAACTACTTTAATTCAAATGCATTGTAATACTAGATATTTTATTAAATAAATTTTATTTCAAACACTTTAATTTCCTATTATCCAAAAAAAAATTATCCTAAACATAACAAATAATCAATTTCATAATTTTTAGCTGCTGTACATTAAAATATTTATGAATAAACAGTGCTAGACATTCAAATTTCCTTTAGGGAAATATCAGAAATATCCAAAATTTTTTCCAAAAGTGATGTGGTAATAATAGCGTTAGGATTAGGAGGATTAGGAGGATTAGATCTTGTAGCGAGAGCCTATAAAAAAAAGTATTTGTTAATGTAATTCATAACTGCATGAGATCAAATAACAGACATTCTAGCTATAGTAGAAAAATTGCCAGAAAATGTGTTTTTTTTTGTAATATATTACAACTCATTTTCAAAAAATTATGAAAAGATGCATAATGAAGAATTCACAATATTTTCCATATTTCCAAAGTGTTAATAATCTATCCTTAGCTTTACTAATAGATTCTTTGATACCTCACATGAGTATATTTCATTATTACACCAAAAATACAGTAATTATTATTTAATTGAAATTATTATTCTAGAAGTTCATGTGACTGACAATTTTTAAACAGTTAGAATGTTTATAAAGTAATCATAGTACCTTTGCCATTCGAACGGCCGTTTTGATTTCTCTGCCATTCAATTGACGTTGTTTTAATTTTTCTATGTCAACCTGACTTTTGTTTTTACCATCAGCACGATCTAAAAATGTACGCCAAATTTGGGCTCGTGATGTTTCGTCAAGGACATTATATTTTAAGACTATGCTAATTCTCTGTATAGAAAATGATATATCAATGCTAAATATAAAATTGAAGTAATCTAACTAAATTTCATAAAATGAAAAACAGCTCACCGAATGAAAAGCCATATCAAAACTTTCAACTATATAAATTGGATAAAATTAAAGATGCAAAGTTACTTCAATTAAATAGAAAATAAAAAAGATCTTACCACGATTAGTTGTAAGAAAGAGAATTCCCTGGTGATACTCTAATAATCTTAGGAATATTCCCACTAAAGCATTACGGTTTACATCATTTTTACTTCTTTGTTCCAAAAAAATATCAACTATGAAAAAAAAGGTAAATTTATATTTAAATTTAAATTTTAATACTGATAGAGATCAAACCTTCGTCAATGAGAATGACGGCATTCCAAATGCTTGCAACTTCAAGAATTTCACTTAATTTTGCTTCTAATTCCTTAGGCGTCACGCCTAATTCACCAACACTAACAGCATATAACGGACGATGTAAATATTCAGAGATAGCTTCAGCAGTTAATGTTTTACCCACTAAATTCATTAAATTAAATTGATAATAAATTTTGATTGTATAAACAAAGTTTAACTGTTAATAAAAAATATATACCTCCAGGAGGTCCATGTAATAAGAAAATGCAGCCACCACCTTTACCACTAATCAAATCCAATCCTTCATAAGGTTCAGATGTTACCAAGCTTGCAATAATATCCTTTTTATTAGTATCCATTATTAAATTATTAAATGCATCATCATCAAATTTAATTTCTTTAAAAAAATTTTTTTTCAGATTAGCAATAATAATTTCAAGCATTTACAAATATAAAGAAGCTTACCATCTACTTGATCAACATAAAATTGACCCCATTTTTTAGCAATAAAGCTGAAACCAAAAAATGTAGGAGCGCACATATATAATTCTTCCTCTTTAACTTTTTTTTTGTCACCCTTAATAGACGAATTATGTATATAATTATGACGGTTGTTATTAACATCTGACTTATAATTTGGATCAATTTGACTAAAGGTTGCAGCATCAATCATAATACGTCCATCTCCTCTGTAATAAGTATCACCAACCCAAGATTTACGGAAAAATCTTCCAGAGTATCTTAAATAATGAGCACCAAGAGCATACTTTTCGAATATTTTACCCCGTTTTACCAATTTATCACGTATCTCACATTCTTTTTTTAAGGGAACTGCAGGGAGTTTATCAATACTTAAAACGCCGAGAAAATGATCAATATGCCAGTATTTGACACAGTTCACAAACTCATGACCATCTAATAAACAAAAAATTATTTATAAATTATATATAGATATTATATAAACATCAGCAAATATAAAAAAAAAGTTATATACTTGATTCAATAATTTCACCAGTAATAGTAAAGAATTGTGTACCGAAATAAGTTTTATATTCACAATTTGTAACCCGGGCACCAACAATCTTGTTATGCAATTGTGCATATACCTGAGTTGCTGAATATTAAAAATATATATATATATAAATAATTTAATAAATTAAAATATTTACCTAAACCATAAATTTAGTATTATAAATAGTAAAAGCTTACCAGTTGGAAATAGATACCACAAATGTTTAAATGAAATTTCTTGCTAAGAAAATATAAATAATAATTAATTAATTAATTAATTATTCAATTGAAAACACAAGTATACAAAAAATTTACAATAAAAATATTAACCTTATTGATCATATTATCAATTTGCTTTAATGTCGTATCAAATGCTTTTTCTAGCCAGTTGACTAGGTTTTTTAATGGTAAAATATGTGGATTGTCCAAAGGGACATTAGAACCAGACACATTATTTGTTGTTAAATTATTCCCAACATAATCTCTTAATTGTGGAAGGATCATGAATAATTCATGGGCGGATGTCTAAATAAACAAATTAATAACTAAATTAATGATTAAAATATATATTACGTCAGAAGTTTGATCCTGAACTTCTTTCCTATCATTACCTTGGGTTTTACAGCATACAATTCTTCAGATCTCACAAATTGTTGTAAGATAGCTAACAAGTTTTTATCAATTATATTTAAATAAACTGAATCGTCAATTTCTTCAATTGTAAAAGGTTCACACTCATTGACAGAACCTGGGAAAGGTACCATTGACTGTCCATGTGGATACATAAATAAATCCGAAGGAAAAATGTGATGGTTTCCAAATGTTGGAATTCTAGGTACAGGTATCATAGGATTTTGAACAGGAATTTGATTTACCATTATATTGGCATTATTAGTACTTTTCTTAATTTCAATTGTTGTGTCATCTTTATTTTCTTCTGAAATTTCAATTGTCGTGTCATATTTATTTTCTCCTAGAATTTTAGTTGTCGTTTCATCTTTATTTTCTCCTGGAATTTCAGAGGTTGAACCATTTGTATTTCCGTCATCTAATGTTGAAGCATCCTTTACAGTACTTTTAGTAACTTCTTTAGGGGTTTCGGACATTTTGTTGCATTTAAAAAAGAACTTAAGTGAGCGGACCCTTTATATAATTTTTAATAAATCCCACCGGAATAATGAATAATGAGTTCACCGGAATAATGATTCCGTGTCACAAATCAAATTATCATTATGGTAATTCTTTTAATTACGTATGTACGTACGTATCCGTAGTTTTTTTGATGCTGCAATCATTTAAATAAAAATAGAAAATTTTGACGATACAGTAATCATCATTAAAAATTCTCATTGTTTGAATACTTTTTTTGAATTTGTTACGGTATTTAAATCATTTTATTTAATAGTTTTTCAACCATGCACATGTCATGCGTCATCTCTCAATTATTAATTGAAGCCTGTAATTTGTCAATTTCCACCGATTGATAGGTCAATTCTTAATGCAGATCATATTATAATTAACGATAGCCTATCGCTATTAATGATGTCAATACGTAAATTATGAAAAATATTCTTTTATCAGAGTTATTTTTTTCTGACTCATGAAACCTTTAACCGAATATTACTTAAGATATTAAAAATCTCACCAAGCAAAATATTACACGTTCAAATCATAATATTCAGGAACTTCAAACTTATAATGTTCAACACCCAAGCAAGAGCGCCAACTCAAGAACACTCAACACAAGAATGCTCAACTTAGAAATACTCAAGAACGCTTAACTTATATATTTTTGAAGTAAATAAAAAGGGGTTTAAAACTAACTCAATATGACGTCCCTCTAGAGAAGGTTTGAAAAAAAAAAAAATTCTTTTTTACTGATATAATTTGAATTGAAGTAACAATGCAAATAATAATGGTTCAAGTCAAAAGCTCATCTAAATTCTTGCAGTTGCTAAAAACTGAATTGCAGTACTAAATATTGCTCTTGTAGAAAGAAAATTTTGATGTACTCAAGGCAAATACTTTTAGTTCCATTAGTAAACTTTAATATATCTTGCATAAATTTGAATATTTTCGGTTAAAATATAATTCCTAGAAATATTTTTTCATTTTTTCTTTATTCCGATTGAAAATGATGTATGCCGTTTTTCAATTGAAAAATGACATGCGTCAATTGATGATGCATAAATGTACATATGTTATAATTCATATACCGACAAAAAAACAAAGGTGGTTCATATGTAGAAATACAAGAAAACAACATATTCACGCTATAGTGAAGTTCCCACTACACCTATAGACTAGACTCAAACATGTTATATAATTATTATATCAAGTGTTCACTCTAACAAAGGTGAGCTGTATTTGGGTAGTGGTTCTTTTCGTTATTTAACTCGTGAGTATATTTTTAGAACTCTACAACCTTTTATGGCTTCGTTTTAATTATTTATTTGTGTTATTTTCGTCATGATTCATTTATAAATCCAGTTACAGCGAAAGTTACTATGATGGGTTTCTTTGGACATAACGAACTTTGAAATTTTAAATTTATGTTATTGAATGTAGATTTTGTATACTTAATAATTCAATATCATTTGAACAATTTAATTCATGTTCACTCTTTATTTAAATCTAATCAAGATTATTGTTCATTAATCAAGTTTCTCTTTAGAATCAAGCCTACCGAATAATTAATTGTGAGTGTAACTATTTGAATCCAATTAATTGATTGGTGATTTGCTATTTTCGCAATTGTTTGAAAAATGTAATGACTTGATAAAATATTCAAGGGGAATTTACAGATAAGGGTGGTATTTGAAAATTATTACAAATAAGGGCCTAAATGATTTAACCTCGTTTCAATAATTTGAATATGATCGTAATATAATCATTGATTGTTAATGAATAAAAAATGTAATAATAATCAATAAGTAATTCGAATATAAATATAAATTCCAATAAAAAAAGGTACGTTCGATTCGTCAACCCATTATTCACATTGTAAATTTATTCCATTGAAATTCTTATATATATATTCCTTAAAACATGTTCATAAATGTTAGATAAAAGTTACAGATCGGTATTATTTTTTACAAACTTGGAAAATGTTCATTCAGCCTTGAACAGTTATTCTGTTCAATTCTAAGTTAAATCAAGTAAACTGTTATTCTGTTGAATTCTAAGTTAAGAATGAACAAACCAAGTAAGCTGTTGATTGTTTGTTTTACAAATGAAACCAGTTTATGCATTTTACTATTTCAGCTAACAAGCGTAAAGATGATCCAAAAATCCGGTCATTCGGTTGGAGTTTTTTTTCTGTTTTTTTTTTACAGTCAAACCCTCTATAATACACTCTTGGTTTCAAGAATTTTGTGCTTATATAAAGGTTAAATTTTATATGCAATATATGCGTTAGTTTTAAAAGTTTGTGATTATAAGCAAATGAGATTATAGAGGAAGCGACTATAGAGAGGCCTGGTTGTATTTCTAAATAATGAAAGATAACTCTAAAACATCTATTTAATCAAGAAATAAGACAATTAATCATGATACATTTATGATTAAATTGACTAGCAATTTTGACGATATATTTGGGGCTTTATTTGTAATTTTCAAATATCGGCCTCTATCTGTAATTATTTTCATTTTGGGCCCTTATTTATAATTATTTTCGTTTTCAGGCCCTTATTTGTAAACTCCCCAAAATTAAATTACACGCTATGCGATATACGTACAACTAATAACATGTTAAATTATCGCATAGTGTAATTTAACTTTTTACGTAATAAGTAAGCATTGGCTTTGCAAAATTTTGTGCCCACGATTATAGTGATAATGATAGATATTATCATACTCTAGAAATCGACAATCGCATGATCGGGTCACAAAGAGTAATAACTATTAATAATAATCTAATGAAAGACTTCAGGATGAAGTAGGTGTTGAATATTTCGAGATTTTAAATGAATTTACAAAATGTATACAGTATGTTCAAAACTTCGACAAAGTCAATGGAATTAGTCATATGGTTGAAATATTCTATTTAGATCATACAATCACTATTGGTGACTATGTGACTAAATGTTATTAGCAAAATCGATAAAGTAAATAAATAAATAAATATATATCTATCTATATATATATTCTTTATGTATTACTGTACTTTTTTTCATGCTTTCATCGTTGTATTAACGCTAATGAAAGCTAAACCCTAATTCGAACTAGTTCTATTTAAGAACAATTTTGTTAAAATAGAAAAATTAGCAGCTTGTCCATTTCATTAGCAACGATAAAGAATTGTATTTTAAAATGTTCTTTTTAATGTTTAATGTCAGCGAAAGACTTATTTATTGAATCGGAGCAGGTAACAATAAATAAGAACCGTACTACCGTGTATTACAAATCAAAATCAACACCAAATAACCACAATCTCTCCGAAAAAATCACTCGAAAAAATCTTTTTATGCAACACTTTTCGATCTAACAACTGCAACACCGTATGAATAACCTTAAAGTAACATCTAGCGTATTAATTAAATTAACTTATGCCCGCAACAAGTCTTGTGTATTTTTACTAATTAAGATTTTTTATCCTGATCTGGTTTTTCGGAGAATCTGATTCCTTATCATATGGGCTAATTTTGATTGTGATCTAAATAGTAGAACCGATTACTTATAACTCCGGTCAAATTTGCAGATCATTTGGCCAGATTTGGAATCATAAAACTCCGGAATTGGCCAAACTATCTGCAAATTTGACCAGAGTTATAAGTAATCGGTTCTACTGTTTAAATCACACATAAAATTAGCCATGATGTCTATTATCAACCTTGTATACATTTCCCGGATTCAATACATAAACAGACACGAATTAATAAATGATGACACAAAACAACATACTGTATTAGTTATCTAGTTATAGTCAAACCTACAAACCACATTCACCATTCAGGTGATTTTAAAAGCGTAACCAATCATGGCATCCAACTAAAAGCAAGGGTCTAAATATCCACACCATCACATATCTATACCCTCCATTTCACTTATTGAAAACTCTGTTCCTAGTATATTAAATATCATTTTAATTAATAACCTTTCATATAACACAAAGAAAATATTTGTTGATGTGAAAATACACAAATATCATATTTGCACAAAATAACGCCCATGGGTATTATTTCGAGATACATAGTTTGAAGAGAACTAATAATTAATTTAAAGACCTTAATAACAAAATTTTATGATAACACTCGAATAAATTAATTATGAGCTCTCTTCAAACTATTTGTCCAGAAATAACGTCCATGTGCGTTATTTCGCGCAAATTAATTAAAATAAACCACCTTTGTGATTATGCTTATCATGCTTTTTTTGATTACTGTTTTTATAATATATTAAAACTTATATTGCCTATAAAAAAATGATGCTTTTGATAAACTTCAAATATCACTAGCATTGGGAAATTATCAAAACTTTCACACAATTAACAAACCAATAAAATATAATTATCAATCTGAAATAAGATTTAATTTATTGTGATAAATTTTAATTATAGTTTGCGTACCAAATTTTTCGAATGATTTTATTTTAATTAGTTGTATTACTTATGGTGGTGCGAAATTCTATAAATATAACATTTAAAATGCGGATCCAAAACTTTATTTGTTGTTTCTTCTACGTACTCAAAAAGCAAAATGAATATGATCTATAATAATCTCTTTCGTGATAAAAAATTAACTAATTCAGACTATTATGACCTTGGATACAATTATCAACATGGGATAGGGATTGAAAAAGATGAATATAAAGCATTCATTCATTATCAGAAATCGGCAAATATGGGTAATGCAAGTGGAACATATAAGGTTGCATATTGTTATAGAAAAGGAATTGGAGTTAAAAAGGACGAACATAAGGCATTCATTTATTATCAAAGATCTGCAGAGATGTGTAATGCTGAAGGAACATATATGGTTGGATATTGTTATCGAAATGGAATTGGAGTTGAAAAGGATGAACATAACGCATTTATTTATTATCAAAAATCTGCAGAGATAGGGAACGCTGATGGAACATTTATGGTTGCAAATTGTTATAGAAAAGGAATTGGTGTTAAAAAGGATGAACACGAGGCATTTATTTATTATCAAAAATCTGCAGAAATGGGAAATGTTAGTGGAACATATAATGTTGGATATTGTTATTTTAATGGAATTGGAGTTGAAAAGGATGAATATAAGGCATTCATTTATTATCAAAAATCTTCAAAGATGGGTTATGCAAGTGGAACATATAAGGTTGCAAATTGTTATCTCGATGGAATTGGAGTTGAAAAAAAATGAACATAAGGCATTTATTTATTATCAAAAATCTGCAGAGATGGGTAATTCTAAAGGAACATATATGGTTGGAAATTGTTATCTTGATGGAACTGGAGTTAAAAAGGACGAACATAAGGCATTTATTTATTATCAAAAATCTGCAGAGATGGGTAATTCTAAAGGAACATATATGGTTGGAAATTGTTATCTTGATGGAACTGGAGTTGAAATAGATGAACATAAGGCATTTATTTATTATCAAAAATCTGCAGTAATGGGTAATGCTAAATGAATATATATGGTTGGAAATTGTTATCGAAATGGAACTGGAGTTGAAATAGATAAATATAAGGCGTTTATTTATTATCAAAAATCTGCAAAACATAATACATTCCTTTATTATCAAAAATCTGCAGAGATGGGTAATACAAGTGGCACATATAATGTTGGATATTGTTATCTTAATGGAGTTGGAATTGAAAAGGATGAACATAAAGCATTTATTTATTATCAAAAATCCTCAGATATGGGTAATGCAAGTGGAACATATATGGTTGGATATTGTTATCGAAATGGAATTGGAGTTGGAAAGAATGAACACAAGGCATTTGTTTATTATCAAAAATCCGCAGAGATGGGTAATGCGAGTGGAACTTATAATGTTGGGTATTGTTATTTTAATGGAATTGGAGTTAAGAAGGATGAACATAAGACATTTATTTATTATCAAAAATCTGCAGAGATGGTTATGCAAATGGAACGTATATGGTTGGATATTGTTATGAAAATAGAATTGGAGTTGAAAAGAATGAATATATGGCATTAATCTATTATCAAAGTTCCGCAGAGATGGGTAATGCAAGTGGAGCATATAATGTTGGAAGTTATTATCTTAATGGAATTGGAGTTGAAAAGGATAAACGTAAGGCATTTACTTATTATCAAAAATCTGCAGAGATGGGTAATGCAAGTGGAACTTATAATATCGGATATTGTTATTTTAATGGAATTGGAGTTGAAAAGAATGATCATAAGGCATTCATTTATTATCAAAAGTCTGCAGATATGGGGGATAGTATTGCGTTACATGTTGTTGGATATTGTTATCTTAATGGAATTGGAGTTAAAAAGGATGAACACGAGGCATTTATTTATTATCAAAAATCTGCAGAAATGGGAAATGTTGATGGAACATATAATGTTGGATATTGTTATAGAAATGGTATTGGAGTTGAAAAGAATGAGCATAAGGCATTCATTTATTATCAAAAATCTGCAGAGATGGGTAATGCAAGTGGAACATATAATGTTGGATATTGTTATCGAAATGGAATTGGAATTGAGAAGGATGAACATAAGGCATTCATTTATTATCAAAAATCTGCAGAGGCAGGGAACGCTGATGGAATATTTCAGATTGGAGATTGTTAACTTAATGGAGTTGGTGTTGAAAAGGATGAACATAAAGTATTTAGTTACTATCAAAAATCTTCAGAGATGGGTTATGCAAGTGGAACATATATGGTTGGATATTGTTATCGAAATGGAATTAGTGTTGAAAAGGATGAAAATAAGGCATTCACTTATTATCAAAAATCTGCAGAGATGGGTTATGCAGATGGAACATATATGGTTGGATATTTTTATCGGCATGGAATTGGAGTTAAAAAGAATGAATATAAGGCATTTATTGATTATTAAAAATCTGCCAAAATGAGATGCTAGTGTAATGATGACGGTTGATTATTGTTATTTAAATGGAATTGAAATGTAAAAAGATTTGCAAAAAGCTAACTATTGGTATAAAATGTAATGTATTTTCAAATTTAAAATTTTTATTCTTTGCAATAATTCGCCAAATATAAGCAATATAAAGCACACTACAGTATTAGCACTTAGTGTTACGGAACTTTCGGCTGGGCGAAACTTCCAAACCTAGTTTCGCCCAAGGTTCCAAGTCCGAAACTGGGCGAAATTTGATCCACCTAATGCAGCGTTGTTAAACGGCCTACCGAAAGTCTCATTTTTCAAACGTATCAAATGACTCAGCTGCGACAAAGGCAAATCAGGGAAAATCTACGGACACGTACAGGTCACGTGATATAGCACGTATCCTAAACTAAGATCGATGATTGGTACGTGTCCATACATTTAGTTAGGTTAGGTCATGTGACTGGTAAGTGTCCGTAGACTTTCCACAAATAATATCAACGACCCTAACGTCGTCCTCAAAAAATGGTAGCCGGACAGATCTGCTGGGTACATGTTATTATGTGATCCGGATAGCAATTTTGACTACAAATCAAAAAAAGAAAATTCACTATCATTACCACTGTGTACTTGTAAAATTCATTATCGTTACTGCTGTGCTGTTATTGCTTAAAATTTTTTATAGTTTTATGCCACTTTATATTTATTTGAATTTTTTTCTTTAATTATTAGCACATTTAAATCAACAAATTTTTTTTTATAACGATAAGTTCTTTTACTATGTCAAACCAACAACCCCAAATCCTGCACATGATGTCATATTATTTCAAATAATGAAGATTTTTTGAATGAAAAAGGAATCAAAGTAAAAAAAATTTACAATGCAAAACCAAATTAAATTAACATGTTAAAGAACAAACTGGCACGACAGTTATATAAAGTTCAAATATTTTTAGAACGATAGTAATAATGAAATAAATATGACAGTTTATTTTTTTAACATCTTGAATATTTTTTGGGTAATTTAAATAAATTACCATCCATTATAACCTTTGGATCATTGGATTAGTCTCATAGACACTTTTTATAGTAATTATAGTACTGAATGAAGCACATCTTTTGAAATTATTAACTTATTGGTCCAAAATAAAAATAAAAAACAAATGCTTGTACGTAAAAAAATTGAATTTGACTATAAATATAACCAAAAAAAATGTATAAACAATAAAATTTTAAGTGAGTCATGTTATTCATTAAAAAAAGTCTTATGAAAAACTTAGAGACCATATTTATTGTTTAATAATGATTTATAAATATGCTAAGGACATTTTTTGATTCATAATTGAATTGTCCATCAAATCTGAATCACATAATAACATGTACCCAGCAGATCTGTCTGGCTACCATTTTTTGAGAGCAACGTTAGGGTTATTAAATTATATCTTAAAAGTTACATGAGCATTGCACTAGAAGTATACTAAAAATACTAGGAATATGCTGTGAAGTAAGTACTAGGATACAGGTAAACTTGAGAAGAGTTAACTCTGTTAACAAGAACTAAATATAGTTAGTTAGTTGACAGAAAGACACTCCAAGTTTTACAATCAGATGGCATGCACTGAAATAAGTAAATGGTCTAACAGATGTACTAAAAAAAAGAGGTCATATGTTGAGTTAAACAATACTTAGGTGTATGAAAGTTTTGAGATTACTTATCCAGTATAGCATAAAATCAAAATATTTAAATAGGTAACCTTTTAGCAAATTACAGATATGGTTGCTAATATAGAACCTTTGGGCAAATTACTTAAATAAGCAATCAAAAGTTATATGAGTAGTTAGTTGTATACTTATTCTTATACAAGTTATACATTGTAGGACCTGAATGAACTCTGGCCAGTTGGGATCCATTGCCAAATTCAAAAAAGAGGTTGATCGCATCTGTCATATCCATCACATGTGACTAATTAGTTGCACGTAATGCATATGATGAATATGACAGATAGCAGTAATCAGTCATAAGGAAAATATCAGTAGAATATAACTGATCAATAGCATCAAAAATATCAGTTGTATCCATCACACAATGTAAATAGAATTCTACAATTATAAATAAATGCTAAAAGGTCCTTAGAGAAAAAAAAACAATCTCTGCTTTTCGAATATAAACTAGTATCTAATATATTTGCTAATAAATAATCTGTCTCTAATCTATAAAATACATAAAGTGTGTTCATATATCTTAATTAACCAACTCTGAAACCTCTCTTTTATTAAGTAAATCCAATCTAAAATCTTGTTAACCATTCACAAATCTAACATGTCTTTTTCAATTAATATTAATCTAAGTAGTTATATAATATATTTGATTTTGAAGCTACTAATATGATGAAACTTTTTATTACTCACAATTTGGTAGTAATTGTAAAATCTGAAACATTGCTATCTTGAATTACTGTTGCCCTGTCTGGTTGTAGTATCTAAAAGTACTAGAATTAGCCATAGTGACTCATGTCCAATTATCTAAAAAAGTGTGATAGTTGTAGTTATACAATTAGTTCAATTATCAGAAGTAAAGTAGTAATTAAGAAGATAGAAAGGAAATAAGATTAGAAATGTTAATAATATAGAAGAACTATACCAACAACTAGAATAGATAAACAAGAGACTTATCATAATTAATGCCCAAATAGGAGCATATTCAAAACTCTAATCAGTACATCAGAATTTTAGATCAATTTACAAAAAAAGAAAAAAAAAGTTAAAAGAAAAAGCTAAAGCAAAGAAAGTAAAGAAAGAAATTTATAGAATTTATTCAATATTTTGGAGACCTGAGAAAACTGAAACCAAGATAGGAAAAACCTATCTTCAACAAGCCTCAAGCCATAAGTGAATTCGAAAATGCTTTTGAAAAGAAACATGATGCCTTTATTGCAAAATAAATAAACATGTTATTAGTAAATGCTCAGAAGTTAAAATACTGCAAAAAAAGTGTGCTGTCCTTTTCAATACACTTACTGAAGAACAAGTTGCTAAAGTTTAAGAAATTATCAATAAAGCCTTTAAAGATCAGTACCTTAATGATGAGCAACTTCTACAAGCCCTTAAACTTCTACTAGAAGTGTTAGAAGATACATTTAAGAATGTCAAGAAGGAGAAAAAGGATATTGTATACCTACCTTCATGCATACTGATCAAACTCATTTCTTGTAGCTATTTTTACTTTGCATCCTATAAATGTTATTTCACAAAAACCCAGGAAGAACTCTTTATATTTTCATCTTTAGTACCTTCTATATTTTTCATATTGAAAGTTTCCTCAAAGTTTTGACAACTGACATCTACAGTAACTGATGCCTATGATGATCTTGATAAATCTGTAAAAGAAACTCTTAACTTGGAACATCTTCTTTGACAATTAGCTGCTAAATATGAAGTGCTTGTACAAAAGTGGGCTTCAGAAGAGGTTGTCTTAAAACCCTTACAGGAAAATAATATTGAAAAAAAGTTAAGACTTGAAAATGCTAAAGATGATAACAACAATGATGATGATAACAATGATAATAATGATAATGATGACAATAATAAAACCAAGATCAAAATAAATAAAAATAAAATTGAAAAGACTGAATACAAGAACCCTGATATGTAACATTTTATATTGAAAACCTGGATCAATTCTGTGAAGATTGAAATAAAAGAGTTGATGAGTTTAGAAGATTAATCTGAGATGATCTTAAAAAGGAATCTGCTGATGCCAATGAAGAGACACTGAATATTGGAATTGAAGTTGAAAAAAACAATTCTAAAGAACTTGAATAGTATTCAGAAAAGGCTGAAGAAGGTGAATTAGATAGATGGTTAATCCAAGATGACTCAAAAGAACCTGCTGATGCCAACAAAAAGGCACTGAATATTGGAAATAAAGTTGAAAAAGATGATTCTAAATCATTTAAATAGTATTCAAAAAAGGCTAAAAAGGATAATTCAAATGAATAGTTGATTTAAGATAATCCAAAAGAACCTGCTGATACAAAAAAAGAGATACTAAATATTGAAATTGAAGTTGAAAAAGATGATCCTAAAGCACTTGGATGGTGTTTGAAAAAGGAAGACCTAGCTGGTTTGAATAATAAGCAAATTAGGATGGATCATCAGAGGCTTACTAATATAAAACCTACAGCTGAAGAAACTAACAAAAATGAAAAGTTTAAAACACCTAATTATAATTGTTACAAAATAGTAAATATCAAAGAGGATAAAAATAGAATTGGAGTTAAAAAGAATAAATATAAGGCACTTCTATACTGATCAATGTATAAACTATACATCTTTAATATCAGTTGTTTGACCTTGTCTTGTGGAACTCAACTTTAAGTTAGAGAAAAATGTAAAACCTGAATAGACCCTGGCCAGTTGGAGTCTATTGCCAAATTCAGAAAAAGAAGTTGATCACATCTGTCATATTTGTTACATACAACTGATTAGTTACATATAACATATATAATAAATGTGACAGATAGTAGTGATCAGTTAGAAGAGAAATATCAGTAGGATACAATTGATCAGTAGCATTAAAGATATCAGTTGTATTCATTACACAATGTAAATAAAATTCTACAATTATAAATAAAGGCCAAAAGGCCCTTAGAGAAAAAAAACAATTCCTGTTCTTCAAATATAAACTAATATCTAATACATTTATTAATAAATAATCTGTTCCTAACTTATAAAGTACATAAAGTGTGTTTATATATCTTAAATAACCAATTCTGAAACCTCTCTTTTATTAAATAAATCTGAACTAAAATCTTGTTAACCATTTGCCAAATCTAATACACCTCTTTTAACTGATATTAATTTAAGTGGTTATCTGATATACCCAATTTTGGAGCCACTAATTTGATAAAACTTTTACTATTCACAATGTAACATATAATTAATAATAAAGTTTCATTAATATTAGTCTTAGTAAAAGCAAAAAAAAATATAATATATTTTATAAAAATTGTATATTTTTTTTACAGAATTTTATAAAAAAAATTTTTAACTATAAATTAATTATTATATAAAATTTTATGTCAAACATATTTGGTTAAAAAATAAAAATAGATTATCTCAATAAAATAAAAAATTTTCTATAAATAAACATTAAAATTTTCAGTTTATTTATATAAAACATTGGTTTTTACTAAGATAATTTGCTTTAACTTATTAAACAAACTTGTTTAATATATAATTTTACATATTATATATTTTCTAATTTTGGTTTTTTAAAATTTTTTTACTAATTAAAATTTTACAAAAATTAATATTTTTATACTTTTTTTGATATTGTCACATTTTTGCTAATTCTAGACTTATCAAACTTTTAATAATCTATATTGATATTTATTGTGATGACTGATGCTAATTTTGGCTAATGCTAAATATCACATGACATTCTGGACCAGAAATTGCAAATCATATCATGTGTCAATCATGTCATATGCAGTATTGAAAATTTGTTGTACATATATCAATATTGTTATTTGCACAAAATTAATAATATATAAAAAATTTTTTACTAATACTAGTTTTATATATCATTTAGACCAGAAATTGCAGATCACCACTGATTGGTTATATTTGTATAATGCAAACATATAAAGTATTACCACCAGTAGTAGTACAAACAAAACAGATTTCAAGATCAGGTAAATATAGCATGATTTAGCAAATTTAAAACAAGCATATAGCAGAAATAGTGCCTAATCCAAAGTGAATTTTCTCATCTGTAATCAATCACAAATTAAATTATTTCTGATCCAAAGTGATTCCTCTTACCTGTAATCAATTACAAATTAAATTATTTATATTGAATTTAATTATAACGAATATAATTTTATATCAGTTTTAATATATATGTAATATTAATGGTTTTTGCTATAAAACAAGCATACTATTTGTCAAAATTCAAAATTCTACCTTTAGTGCTCTAACAAAAAGTTTTTCAAATTATATTATAAGCACTAAAAAAAATGTTTTTTCATTGTATTACAAAAAAAATCACATTTCAGTTGAAGTTCAATTAATTTATTATAAGATTTATTGCAATGAAGCTTATATTATATTATTGCTAAAAACACTAAATATTAAGATCTTCCAAACCCTAACAAAACAACACATTCTAGTCTACCAAGTCTTAATGTTGACTTTAACATACCAGTACTAATTTGTTCTTTTTTTTTAATTCTCTTCTTTTTTTAATTCTCTTATTGTTTTTTATTTTATTTTTTTTTTTCAATTCTCTTTTTTCTTTTTTTTGCTTTATTTTTCTTTATTGCTTTGGTTTTTTTTTTTTGTTTTTTTTTTCTTTGATTTTCTTTAATTTATTATTATTATTATTATTATTTATTATTATTATTATTATTTTATTTATTTATTTATTATTTTTTTTTATTTAAATGACTTTGATCCTATTAAAAAAAACTTGAATTTTTTTGGCATCTACTTCTACAATCATTGTGTAATTATTGGATGCTAATACTTTAAATACATTTTTTTGTGAAAACATTGGCTAAAGCTTTCACTTTTAGGTTTGTTGATTTATATTATGATCTGGTGCAATAGAAACCATGGCCCCAGCTTCAATTGTATTATTTGGTAATTTTTTTTATGAATATTATCTTTTTTATACATTTAATTAAGAGATTTTTCAGTAATAAATTGACAGATTGTTGAATTTGCAGTATATGTGAAATATGATAGTCAACAATCTCAGACATAATATTAATATCATCACAATCTCCTTCTGTTGAAATATGCTGCAATTTATTAAGAATATTATAAACACAATGCATTTTTTAACCAAACATTACCTTATGTAGTATATGACTATATGTTTTGTATATAAAAGAGTTATATGATATAATAAAAGTATTAACAATATTAATTCAGTCCTTCTGTTGTAATTGACTATTTTTATCCTATAGAATTTTGGTAAAACTATAACCAATAGTTTGGTTAAGACATTCAATCTGGCCTTGTGACTGTAGATAATAGGAGTGCCTATATCTAATAATAATATCAAAAGTTTTATATATTAGAGTAAGGATTTGCATAACAAACTTATTACTGTTATTATTTTAAAGTATTGTGAGAGGCCCAAAATCTTAAAAACATTTTTTATAAGATAATTTGCAACAGTAATAAACTCTTTGTTTTTTAGAGAAACAATTACAAGAAATTTTAAAAACATGCAAATGCATATAAATAATCATGCAAAACCATTATTCATTTCTGTATAATCACAAAAGTTCACAAGATTAATCTGATCATATTTCTATGATGCTATAGACACTGCTAGTATCATATCAGTCTTTTCTTTAAGATAAGTGTTTATCACACAAGAGGCATACTTATTAATATACATCTGAATTTGTTTTTGTATAATTCCAATATGATGTTTTAAAATTGCAGCAAATGTCTTATTATAGTTATAGTGGTTTGATTGTGAAAATGCTATAATATCTGAGTGCATAAGTTTTGGTCATATTTGGGGACCATATAGTGTCTTTCAAACATAACACTATTCTTCATAACAGCAAAGATATATAAAACTCTATTTTTATCTAACATAAAATTTTTGTATCAATGAATAAAATTTGGTTTAGTATATTTTTTTAGAACATCTTTCAGTATTGTTTTTTGAGTAAAGATATTTAACAATTGCTTTGTATTCTGCTTCTATTTCAGGGATTTTTGAAATCACTGACATAAGTTATAATTTAAAAAAAAATGTTTTAAAAAAAAATCTTTTTTTAAAAAAATTAAAAAAAAATTAAAAAAAAAATTTTTTTTAAAAAAAAGCCATTTTGTAAACAGCTATATTTTGAAAGAGAGAAAAAAGAAAGTTTCAAGAAAAAAAACTTGTATTATTATTGGTAAACTATTAAAACAAAATTGCTTATATATGTTGTAGATGGAAATGAAACTTAAGTGGATTCAGAATTTTTATATAAAATCCACATTTTAGAGTTGATTTTGTTATATATACACCCTAACCCTAACCCCAATTTAAATAGGAAATTCCAAATTCACTTAAATCCCATTTCCACTTATGATATATATGTAAAGCATTATCATATATCTAATAGGTAAGTAAAACAAACATAAAAAAAAAATTATAAAAAATTTTATATATAACATGCATATATAACAAAACAATAAGAAGAAACCAGGTGTAATGATCTAGTAAAGTGGTCAGGTTGTTAACTTCCAAGTGATAGGTTGGATGTTCAAATCCTATTGATAGTAAAAGTTTGAATAATTACCTATGTAATATTTGTATTATGGCAACTGTTACTAATGATTGAGTTATAATATCTGTAATAGCAGTTGCATCAACATGACTGGCAGGTTATGGAGCATCTGTACAATATTGGAGTTATACAGAGGAATGCAAACTGACAACTGGGCAGTACAAACACTAGATAAGTTCTTGTAACTGTATAAATTTGTTGAAATTGAGTAACAAGAAGTTCATTTAAAAAGATCCAAGTAGAGAAGCAGCTAAATCTTTAATGATGCTACTGTAAAGGCTAGCTTAGAAAAACAGATACCAAGGTCTTAATAATCAGACAAACAAGAATCTTTGGATTGGAAGTCTTGAAGATATTATCAACTAGGTCACTAGAATTAATCAAAAGAAAAGAATATTAGGCTAATTTAATATACTGATAAACCAGTTATAGTTCTATATGAGCCATCTGGATTGGGAGTTTGGCAAAATTCAGAGGTATACTAAAGTTTTATAGTTATGCTGTAAAGTAGATGCTGGGGTCTAAGTAAACTCTACAAGGACATAGTAATTTAATAATTAAGTCTTGACCACAAGTGTTGGTTTTGCTATAGTAATACCTAGATCAGCTATAAAAATAGATACAAAAAGCTTTGGGTAGTTTATCTCAAGAATAAAA